TAATAGAAATTAGAACTTTTTGATGAAGTCGTAGACATGCTGACTGACTTCGTCTGGCTTTTCCTGGTTAATGAAGTGAGCTGCATCTTCCATCACAACCACCTCTTGCAGAAACGGCACATCTCTCTTGAACCCACCTTTATGTATGTAGTTCTGGATATCTAGGTCTCCACACAACCCACCACAGTCACTCAGGGGAGAGTCTTTTAGAGGAGTATGAGCAAGCTGGTGAGGCAGTTCATTGGTTTCTAGCTGCCACATAAATTGCAATCCCACCAGTGACAAAAACACATTTTCTTCGCTGTCAAAGGCGCGAACTCGAAGCGTGGCAAGCCCATCCAAGTCAAGTTTAACAGAATTGTGAAATATCTTAATCCTAGAAAGCTTGTCAATAAAAACTTTGCAGCGAATCACGACTCCAGTATTTACATCAGCAGCATAAACAACAGTTTCCTTCCGGCCACTAAACGGAGCAATTGATCTCAACAGTGCACTCGTCGAGCAGTGACTAGTTGTATTGTATTCTGGCAGAACAAACAGAATGTCGTGGTGATCCTATGACCATTTGAAGCAACCATCGCTCCCCTGGAGCCGATACTCGACCGGATGAGTCATCCTAGGAGGCAGCAGAATGTTGACGTCTGCAATGTGAGGACTGAAGCCCAAATGCGACGCCGTTTGGCCCGCCACCAGAGGAAGAAACAAACCGAGCAAAACAGTGTACCTCAACATCTCCATCTGCCGCACTGAATCTATCTAAAAGCTCCAAGTTTCAGCTTCAGAGAGCTTCGCATACTAGCGAAACTCACCAGAGAGATCACCGGAGTCGGAGCTTGAGCAACGGAGCTTGTATTCAAGGTCGTCTTGGAACCGATTCCTGCTCCCGGAAGCCTCCTAGTAAGCACTTTGGAACTCGGTGGAAATATAAGGATATGATAAGGTGGATGGGCTGCAAAAGCAGGTGAATTTGCAGCTGAAATCTTTGGTTTCCGTGTTGACTGACTGAGAGAGGAGAAAAAGATGGTTAGAGGTCTGTGAAAATTTTCTGGAGAAGCCTAAAAAGTGAGGCTTTTAGGTTCTTGGGTTTCAGTAGATTCACAGTGGAGGTGAAAAATTGAAAGAGAACCGACATAACTTTTCGTGTCGATTCCCACAGACGGCGCCAAATGTTGATGCACAAAACCGGAAGGGTCTTGGAACAACGTAAATCTGACCGTGAATCTGCATGAAATGTAAATAACACAAGATGTATCGTGGTTCACCCCAAGGTTTGGGTTACGTCCACACTGATATTATATTTCTGATGGAGAAAGAGCTTTGAATATGAGAGTGAGAGCTTTTAGAGGATGAGGGGCTTAAGGCCTAAGAATTGGCCTAAGAATTGGCCTCCCCTAATGAAGAGAGTGAGGAGTCCTTTTATAGAATAAGGGCTCCTCACTTATTACATATTTGCCCCTTCCTTTATTACATAATTACATTTAAGTCCCCTGAGTATTTATACGAGATCTAAATACGGAGGCCCTAAATATGGTACAAACAAGGTCTATAATTATAATTGAATTAATTATTTGGACTTCGAGTTAAATTTAAAGTGTGGGTGAAAAAATATAAAACCCAAAAGTACCTAAAAAATAGGCAATTAAAATTCGGGATCCAAAAACATGGACTAAAGCCCACGAGTAGGCTAAGTGAACTGGTGTCGTGAGGTCTATGCCCAAAACTGGGCTGGGGTAGGCATAGGCCTAGCATGTAGGCATGCACAACATCACAGAAAACGGGCTACAGGTGCAGGCCCAAAAAACAGAGGCCTAAACGGGTTCTAATATGGTGCTTTGCAGACACGAATGCAGCTGTAAAGGTTGGGATCCGGTGTGTCGCAGACATATAGGACATCATAGCCCTACTGGCTAGTGTCATGCTTGGGCCAAGCTAATGGTTTGGGCCGCTACAGGCGAGCCCAAAAAAGGAAAAAAAATATGTTTAGGCCGAGAAAAGCAAGGCCCAATTGGGCTTAGGTTGGGACCAAAAACACCCTAACCGTAGCTGAGTGCGCTCGCTGGGGAAGAAGACCGACGCCACCGCTTCAGGCTGCCGTGTTCTAGGACAAAAATTCTCAGGACAAGTTTGTGAGTTAACAGGGATCACGAATCTGAACGAAGATAGAGAAATCTCAAGGTTTCAATCAAAACCTTAGAAATTCGAATCGATAAATTGAAAAATCCGACGATATTTAATAAAATCTCAATTAAGCATTGTCGGGGGTGAGTTGTAGGTCGTCAAAACGTTGACCCATGGGCGAGGATTGGCTGCAGGCCAACCTGCAATGAATGGGTTATGGGTTTGAACCTGGAACCCATGGGTCCGATGGTCTCGCGGCCCGGAGCGGTGTGTCTGGGGAAGCTAGCGACTTGCGGTGATGACGGGATGGGTTTTGAGAAACCCTAAAAAAATCTTTATAATTTTTTTCAATTCCAGATTAATTCAATGCATATTCATATAATATAATTTAATGCATGAGCAGATATTTGATGCAATTCATGGCAATATCAAATTCACATAATTCAACAATTATGGATATAATGCATATCAAATTTATGTGTTTGTAGGGTTGTGTAGAGAATGTGTTATTCTCCCTACGCAGTGCCTTTATTTATAGTAATAACAGAGAGAAGAAATCATTTTCTTCTAAGGAATACAAGTCCTAATAGAGAAGAATAACTAAAATCAAATATAATATAGGATTTACACAATCACACTTAAATAAGAAGTTTATAACAAGATATATTTTGTAGACAAACATAATTGAGAAGCCTTCAAGCATCTATAAAGAAGATGTAAAAGTGTCAAGTAAACATAACGCTAAAAAAGAAGCAACAAAACTTTCTCTAACCAATGCTTCATTTCTGATGTGGAATAATGGCTTGGCTCTTACCGCCTAATTTGACGTCTCAGTCAAATTGAGCTTTTGAGTTTTATAATAGATGGGCTCTCATGTAACATTTCACACCGACCAACAGAAAGGGGGTGATGTGCCTTATATGTACATGCCCACCTTCATATAGCACGAGGCTTTTTAGGAATTCACTAGCTTCGGATTCCATCAGAACACCAAAGTTAAGCGAGTTGGGATGAAAGCAATCCTAGGATGGGTGACCCACTGGGAAGTTGCTCATGAGTTCCCAGAAACAAAACCGTGAAGGAATAGTAAGCTCAAAGTGGACAATATCGTGCTACGACGGAGCCGATATGGGATGTGACAGAATGGTATCAGAGCCATTCTATTGTTCGGTGCAAGTGTGCCGACGAGGAAGTCGGGTCTCTAAGGGGGATGGATTGTAACATCCCACATCGACCAACGGAGAGAATGTGATGTGCCTTATATGTACATGCCCACCTCCTATAGCACGAGGCTTTTTGGGAACTCACTGGCTACGGATCCCATAAGAACTCCAAAGTTAATCGAATTTGGGCAAGAGCAATCCGTGCAGGAATGGTAAGCCCAAAATAGACAATATCATGCTATGACATAGTTGATACTAGGATGTGACAGAATGGTATCAGAGCCACTCTACCGTTCGATGCAAGTGTGCCAACGAGGACATCGAGCTAAGGGGGTGGATTGTAACATCCCACATCGACCAACGGGGAGGGGGTGATGTGCCTTATATGTACATGCCCACCTCCATATAGCATAAGGCCTTTTGGGAATTCACTGGCTTCGGGTTCTATCGGAACTCCTAAGTTAAGCGAGTTCAGGCAAGAACATTCCTAAGATGGGTGACTCATTAGGAAGTTCTCGTGTAAGTTCCCAGAAACAAAACCGTGAGGGCGTGGCTAGGGCCCAAAGCGGACAATATCGTGCTACGGCGGAGTCGGTTTGGGATGTGACATAATGGTATTAGAGCCACTATGCCGTTCAATGTGGACGTGCCAGCAAGGACGTTAGGTTCCCCTTAAATAGGGTGGATTGTAAGATCCCACATCGACCAATGAAGAGGGGGTGATGTGCCTTATATGTACATACTTCCCTCCCTATAGCACAATGCCTTTTTGGGGACTCACTAGCTTCAGATTCCATCGAAACTTTGAAGTTAAGCGAGTTCGAGCGAGAGCAATCCTAGGATGGGTGACCTACTGGGAAGTTCTCGTCTGCGTTCCCAAAAACAAAACCGTGAGGGCGTGGTCGGGGCCCAAAATGGATAATATCGTGCTACGGCAGAGCCGGTCTAGGATGTGACATAATGGTATTAGAGCCACTCTGCCATTCGGTGCGAGTGTGCCGATGAGGACGTCGAGCCCCTAAGGGGGTGGATTATAACATCCCACATCGACCAACGGAAAGGGGGTGATGTACCTTATATGTACATGCCCACCTCCATATAGCATGATGTTTTTTGGGAACTCACTAGCTTCAGATTTCATCGGAACTCCAAAGTTAAGCGAGTTCGGACAAGAGCAATCCTAGGATAGATGACCCACTGGGAAGTTACGTGAGTTCCCAGAAACAAAACCGTGAGGGAATGGTAAGCCTAAAGCGGACAATATCGTGCTATGGCGGAGCCGGTCTGGGATGTGACATCTCACCCAATATTAAACTTTGGGAAAGGGATCCTCTTTGAATCCTTTTCACCAAATCCACCAAGTTTGGGAATCCAGGCCGTTGAAATTTGATCCAACGACTACAAATAAGAGGCTCCTTTAAAAGTTATAATAACTGTAGCCATTTAATTAAATTTCAACAGCCATAATTCCGGAACTTGGTGAATTTGGCAAGAGGGATCCGAAGATTGATCAATTTCCTAAACCTTGGGCTAGTGTAAAAATATGAGTGGCTATTAATTTTTAATATTTATGAGTTCAATAAGTACACCTCAAGTGTTCTTTAGATATGCTTTTAATCTTACACGTAAAAGTAAAGATTAAATAAAGAATATAATGAACAGTGAACTAGAGATAGAGATGTGTGTCGGTGGTTCTTATTAGATCTTTATAAGACAAACTGGTGGGCTTATCAAATGTTCTTGCGGGTTTTCAAAAGAACACTAGTGGGTTTTCAATAGCTCTCTGAGTTCGAAGTCTCCTTCCTCTTGAGTCCCTGTAAAACATTTCTTTGTATCGTATCGTAATTGATTCCCGAGAGAGAGAGAGGAGAGGAGAGAGAGAGGGGAAAGAGAGAAGGTCTGGCAGGGAGAAGGAGCATATCAGCAGCAATTAGAGGGAGTAGCCGGAAAAGGAAAGGAAGAAAGAAAGTAAAAGTGATAAAAGCAAGGTTGATGGAGTTTTGGGACAAGATGATCTTCCCTGTCCGCCGTCTCTGGCTTGCCGTCTCTACCCGCGTCAAGGATCGCAAAAATGGTCACTCACTCACTTAAATATTATATTATTCAGTTCTTCTTCTTCTTTCTAAATCTATATATATATATATAGTTTTGTTATATTCATAATTTGCTGCATATGTATCCATTTATTTCTGCACTTGGAAAACTTGGAGGTGGATGGTTATCAATTTTCATACTAGATTATAAGCTTCATAATTCATATATATTGATAGATGCTCCCACCTTTTTTTTATTTTTTTTTATTTTGTTTATTTTTAATTCTATCCTTTTCCTCATCTCTGTTTTCTTTTTCTGTTTCCTTTTCACTGCGTTCATAAGAAGCATGTTTTCGTTTCATTCCTCCTTGTCAAACAATTGTTCCTCTGTTTTTTCAATTTTTTTTTAATGGAAAACAAAACTTCTAGAAATAAGGTTTTTATTTTTTATATTTTTTATCATCCCACAGTAACCAAAACTTCTAGAAAATGCCACAATAAAATCTAATCATTGATGATTACACATCATCAAGTTCTCTATTTTACCTAGAAATATACCCTCTCCGGATCTCTCCTTCCAAATTCTAAAGATCAAGTTATCCGGATCTTTGAAATTTCATTCAACGGTTAAAAAAGAAAAAAATTAGTAAAAACTTTTAAAAGTTATAATAATTTTTAGCTCGTGAATCAAATGTTAAATATCCGGATCTCTTGGACTTTAAAGAGAGAGATTGAAGAGGATGTCCTCCCATTTTACCTTACCCCTGCAGACAAAAGTATATTATTGATGATTACACAATAATATATTTACACTAAAGATGCAAAATTTAGATTGAGTCAAAAGGGTCAGTTACAATATATTGCTATTAAACTCTCATTCTATGGAGTCGTATTTAGGATTTTTGACCTACAATAAATGCGAAGTTAAGAATTTATATAAGAGTGGGGTAATATTATTTTCTAAGTCTTGAATAAAACTTTAGCCTAGTAAATCCTCCATGAGCTTACAGCCATCTCCGCCCTTCATAAATGGAGAATTACTGGACCGGATTGCGAAGTGAATGAAGAAGGATTTTGAGTGGAGGATATAATACATTTTAATTTTGTCGGTGGTCCATGGTTGGGTAAACGAATGAATTTGTGTGTGCCAAAAACAGTGCCCAATCTTGAATTGTATTGTAGTCATATAAAAATCCCAACTGCCAATGGTAATTCGATTACTCTATTTGCCTATCCGTTAAGTCTGTCACTGATTGATGATTACGAGGCATAAATTTGATGGGACAAACTGCGCCACTTCAACATATAATGAAGGAAGGACTTGTCATAAGGATAAGTGATGTATGGAAATAGTAGAAAAATCAACGATTGGGTACAAATGTCAGACAAAATAAACTTTATATACAAACATTAGAATATTTGAAAACTTGAGAGTAATAAAGAAGAAATTACGATAGGAAGATCTCATCGCAATTTTGTTACACTAGAGTAAACATACTAGTAAAAGACCAATTCCTAATGGTTAAAACTTGAACTATTGAATAGTACGCATCATTGTGACTGACCCGTATAAGATAGACAAAAGTGTATTCTAATTCGTGTTTAACTCCTGCCATCCAAAGCGATAGATATACTTTTTGGGACCATTCTATCTTCTTTTGTCCAAGTCACAAAAGTAGTGGGACTCTGGTGAGTGACCAATCTTCTGCTTCGTAGCTGAGGCCTAAAGATACGATGAATATCTACATCTACATCTTTACTGATGCAACTTTGCCGTCGAAATCACCAAAAGCGTTAATTATTTTGAATACATTCTCGATGTTAGACCATCTCCAATCGAATGGTCCAGAATGCTGAAAATAATCCGAAAATCGTTTCCAACCAATCAGCCTTGGGCCGGGCCACATGCTGACATCATATTTGATTTTTCTTTTTTTTCTTTACAGTTTTTTTTTTTTTTTTTTACAAAATTTAAAAATTATATATATTTTTTTTCCTTTAACTTCCTAAGTCATTAAATAACATTAAGTAACATTAAACAACATAAAAAAAATTAACAACATCAAACTTAGACAACATTTTTAAAAACATTTAACAACATGAAAATTATTGACAATCCATAACATAAAATTATTGAGGTAATTTAATTTAAGTATCCATAGTAGTTCAATTAAAATAATAAATTATATTTGGCCCTATGATCTTTTGGCCTTCAGTTGGAGATGGTTTTTTTTCATAGGGCTATGTTTGGCCTATGACCCTCTGGCCCCTCGGTTGGAGATGGTAAAAAATACGGCCTTGCACTGTTCATTAAAATATTAATTTCTTAGAGGGGCCAGAGGGCTAAAACGAGCCATCTGGCCAACCTTCGGTTGGAGATGGCCTTAATAAGGATAATTAAAGGCTCGTTTGCAAATATTTTTAAATGACTAAAAACACTTTTAATGAAAATGTTTTAAAACCAATCTTTAATAAAAATGTAAATGAATTCTAAAAAAGCATTTCAAGTGCTTTTAAAACTCAAAAAAAAATTCTCTAAAATCGTTTTTCAGCCGTTTGAAAATAATTTCAAACCATCTCTAAAAAAGTTGTTGAATTTGGATGGATGTAGGTGGTGGGCTTCTGAAGCTTCACGATGATGTGCAATCGTGTGGGTATCAAGATGTGCAAGTGATGTGGCAGATGTTGAGTAGAGAAACAACAGACAACCATCCGCCCTCGGCCAAACGCAAACACCAAAGACTCTTCTGGAGAGTTTTCGAGTGGTCTTCTAGCAACACTCGTAGTAAAAACTCAGCTTTGCGATCCGAACACGAAGAATTCTAAATAGGAGTTTATACTCATTTTTAAATAATCAAGCATGAACAACATTTGCAGTTGCACGCATGGCTTTGGCACAGAACTGTTGCATGTGTAAATATAAATAATATTTTACCTGAAAACCAGGATAAAAAAAATTAAAGAAAGAACCTCCCTACTATAATATGTACTTGCATGAAAAAATACAGTTTCGTAAACCCACTTATAATTAAACATCCAACAAAAATTCAAATTTTTAAAGACGAAGACTTAATTTACATCAACTTTCAGTCTATAATTAACACCATAAAATCATAAATGATGTAACATTTACATATCACTTGTCATATCAGACGATGTAACATTTACATATCACTTGTCATATCAGACGATACACCAATATAGTATAAAATGTAATCATTCAAAAATGAATCACTTTGAAATTCGTACAAAAAAAAAGGTTTACAAATGTTGTTTCATGATATTCCCACGTCCAAACATGGGAAAGTAAATAACTTGACATTCCCACGTCCATTATCCTGCAAACCAAGCGCCTCCTTAGTGTTACCATCAATGTTACCAGTTGCGACAACTTAGTGGAGATAATATTTTCTGACCATGAAAATCATCCAAATGCCAATCCATAACAAATGAGAAATCAATGCGCAAGGGACAGCTTGATTGTTTGCATTGAGACATATGCTTTTATTTGTATTGATAAAGAAACTATTATGCAACTTTTGTAAAAAAAATAAAAACTAGACCGTAGCACCATGCAAGTAGAATATAATTTGAGACTCAAACATAACTCATTTATATAAAAGATAGTTAAGAAAAACATTGGGAGAAAAATAATTCTTCACCTTCACAATGCTAACCACTCCAAGAAAATCCAAGCCAACGCCAAAATTCTGCTAACAAACAGAAACTTCCCCTCCAAGAAATTAAAATCCGAATTCTTTAATTCGAAATGAAAGGGTTCGCTTTGCCCGTTAAGAGTAGATAACCCGTTCCCTATGTCTTTGTTTCTATTAGATTAATATCATCAATGAAACAAACTAAACCATAGTGCAAAATCTTGCAAAAGAACCCATCCATCAGGTGTTTGGTAATATTACTCTTCCAAATATAAGAGCATTGCAAGAAACATCGTTTAACAAGTACAAAATACACATTGACAGAAAAGAACACAATCATCTCGGTTTAAAGTTCGATTAAAAGGAGTATTGTAAAGGGCCAGAAAAGGAAGGGGGAGCAAATAGGCCTTCTGTTTTCTTCTCTTTGTTTCTTTTGTTGCGAGTCCCTACAGATGTTCAAAATATTAACTTGTCTTTAACTCGCCTTCTTCCTTCTTCGTCTTCTTGCATCAATCAAATATCCAATGAAACTCGTTATAACAAATTTGGCTTTGAAATAAGTCTGCCATCCAACCAAAATTGCCTGCCAAACCTCAAACACACGCTCGCCATGCATGTGCAGTCCTATCTATTAGGACGATGATCCTCAAACTGATAATGGAAGTACCAAATGCATACTGTATTTCAGTATTTACCTGTACAAGAGATGCATCAAAATGGCTCATCACTTAACCGCCTAGCAGTACCTTCCGTGGGTCAAGTTGTCCGCGGCAGTAACTGGAAGGGACGGCAGACAGTTCCGGCCTTCCTTTCCATTCTACAACAGGCTTTTCCACACAAGCAGCCTGGACACACAGCATATTCTTGTACTCATCATCCCCAAAATCAGTAATTGCCTTTGCTTTCTTATCCCACGGATTCCAGACAACTGCAACGGAAAGGACAATCTGATTAGCACAAAAGATGAATTTTGCTTTGTATGCCATAAGCCCTTTAACGAAACACGCAGATGCTTTCGTTCCGCATTTACGCAATTAATTTAATATCTAGCCATAGATAAAAGATGTGTTCTTGTTAATTCTTTTAGAAGTCTGAAAACCTCATAACTGCATGTGTAAAACTGCAGATTTTCTTTGATAAGTTCCTTGACATAATAGTTTTGTACCAAAGAACATTGACTGATCAAAACTCACCAGCATCTGGAAGCCTGTCCTTCCTTAACACAAATGTTCTCTTCCTTTCATGGTCCAGAATAGCAATATTTGTAGGCGTGCTGAGATAAACTTTGTCCACCTTGACAATAAAAAAATATCATTCAGCAACAAATAAACATAAAAATGAACCAAAACAACAGTGGAAAACACCAATCCCAAATAAGGACAAACGCTAACCTCAGACTCAAATGTTATTGCATCCCCTTGCTCAGTAAATCGCTCTTTACTCTTCAGGTTATCCAGATAATCCAGTGTCTCCAGTCCTTCTACCCGCACTTCACTATATAAAAGCAACATGACAATCAATGCACAAACACAAAGGAATACTTTCCAGAGAAGGATTGTTTTGATGCACAGTTGCCCCAAAGGGGGTGATGGATTATTTTGATGCAGGAAAACTTTCCAGCCATAGATTAGAAGCACATAGAGAGGCCTCCAATGGGGTTTATACCATGTCTGGCATGATTCATCCATAGGTATGCATTAAACAGGTGTCTGACACACGGAAGAAATGCCAACTATGAAATTCATATATGGAATATCCATATTCGAATAATAGTTATACTTTATTAAATTCTGTCAGTAATTAAAGTATTTACTGCTCTACTACTAATTAAGAAAAAAAGGGACAAATACTTTCAAAGGAAGATGGAATAAACACCTTTGGGAAAACACCAGGAATTTTCCATTGAATCATCAGTAAGCAATGGACCTCCAACACGGCTACTACCATATTTCAAGAGAAAGGTAGGGCTACTACCATATTTCAAGAGAAAGGTTTCTCATGACTGATGTAGTTTATTTATCATTACACAATTTCAAACAGGGACCTCCATAATGTAATAAACCCATACCTGTATGCACTCATACTTGCATGTCACAGAAAAATGTGTGATAAATTTCCCCAGAAATTCTTTAATATTATTACAATATAAGATTACTGGCTACCAGAATATGTCTTACAATGTTCAGAAATGGAGTGGCAAGTTGGCAACCATGCATATCAAAAGTCAAAACTTAAACCTATCGGAGGAATGTTACCCTAACATATCATTTTACCACTTCCAGTCTCACCATTCGATATCCGACAGGAATTACAACCTGGTATTTAAAAAAAATATGGCTTTATAATGCTTAAACAACAATAAAAACGCTGAGCAATATAACAGCATATGTCTACTGTGCCTTCCGGTTCTGGTCAAAGAAAACTATGTAGGAATGCTAAAATATTTGAGTTAAACAATTCAAACAACGGCAAAAAATTGTATCTTTAAACCTGATATCAGTTACAGCCAGATAGGTGTGATAGGCAAATGTGAATGTAAATGACTTTCCATCAGTGTTTGTATTTCGGATGCGAGATGTCAACATCAAATCCCCTCCAGGTCCCAAAGTTACCCTAAGGCGAAATTCATATCTGCAAGTAATTGCAATTACATCATTACTTAACCAAGGAATAATTAGAATTCACCAAACAAGTATCCAGCAACAAAAAATGTGTAGTGTTATTCACACACCCATTTTTACTTCTCACACACCCTTGTTAATTTTTGTCCACTGACTCCTTCAATTCTTTTGATCTGACGGCTGAAAATTGAGAGGGGTGCCTGAAAGGTAAAAATGGATGTGTGGATAGCATCACCCTAAAAAGTATGGATAAGAGGAGTTAACATATTTAAAATCTAACACTTGATCATAGAGTAGTATTTTAATTAACTGATTATGCAAGATAGCTACATAACCATATATGACGTGTGTGTGGGTTGTGTGTGTGTGTGTGTGTGTATACAAGAGCACAAACTGTTCCAGCCACTAGGGAAACAATGGCAGGCTACCTTACTGCTGGAAATGTGCCCTAAAATATCCAACCATGAGATGATCCTTCATTGATATTTCACACATTAAACTAATTTAGTGTAATCTACGGGCAAAAGTTATTGTTTAATGTCGTCTCATGAAAAGTTGTACTCCTAAACAATAAGTCCAAAGAATATGTAATAAAGAGAATGTAATATGAAGAAGTTAGATTTATTAGACCTACCTTTTTTTTAAGCATATCCTAAACGTTCCTGATCATCGGATTGCCAATTGGGTATTGACAATCCGATTAGATGAGTATGTACTGTCTTCTCTAAATAGAAAGTGATTGGTCTCTAGCAATTAGTGTGCAAGACACCAAGGCAAGTGTGTAGGTACAATACGTACTATGTCTTCTCTGAATAGAGATTGATTGGTCCCTAGCAATTGGTGTGCAAGACACCAAGGCAAGTATGTAGGTGCTTAATAGGGAGTGAATTCATTGAACACGATCAAACTGAAGTTCTCGTGCTAATGTCTTATGAGAACTCACTAGTTGGGATAATGCTAAGTAATTCTTTGACCTAAGACACCACAATTGTCTTGTGGGTACATCTTTGATCATTTGACAATGCGCATAACCCTAAGATTTGCTCCACGCATTGATGGGATCACTGATTTATTCACAAAGGCATGTGAGTGTCCTTCAAACCGTTGAAAGAGAATACTCTATGATATGATTCAAGAGTCTCTGGCCACAACAAATGAATATGATTTAGGAAGTACGTTCCAAATCGCATTTACAGTAATCATATAGACAAGAGTATCACATTTGATTAGTAGACCTAATCAACCAAATAATGTCATAAAGAGTATCAATATCGGGAAGGACCTTATTGCATTATAATTCCAAACTGAAAAGGTTCTCCACCTCTTCTACTTAGCTTGTGTAACCATGACTTACTGCTAGGTGTCACTCATGGCTGGTGGAAGCCCTTGAAGATTAGCAATCACTAATTTTTATCAAAGGGAGAGTTGAAAGAAAGTTTCAATCCACATCGATTAGTAAAATTTCTAATTGCCACTGCCTCGCTAATTAGAACCTAATGGATCGTACACCGTGTAGGGTAGGGTAGAGATTAAAAAAATAACATAGTTGAGTAAGAATAATTAAACGGTTTAATTGTTTATGGCCAGTATTAATTAATACGTTAATTAATTAATTAATCAAACGAATAAGTTCGTATCCGACCTTGAGTTAGGGCTGTTTTGGTATTGCTGTGCTTGAAAAAAAAACTTTTTCTGCTGTGCAATGAGAATAAGCTCATTTTTGCTACTTCACGTTTTCATCTCTTTTTCACCCAAAACTGTGAAAATAAGCTGTTTTTAAGTGTTTACCAAACACCTTTTTGAGCTTAGTTTTTTTTATACCCACTTTTTATAAAAGCACCTCAGTACCAAACCAGTACTTAGTATTGGGCTTCATGGCTTAATGGTCTTCAAACTGTCAAGCCCATTAACTTAAGTTGTATGACAACTTAAAATCAAAAGGCTTAAAAGCCCAATGAGTATTAAAGGCCAGCCATCCTTATAGAGAGAGAGAGAGTGTTCAAAACAAATAAATAGGAAAGTAACCAAAGCAAATGGAAGTAGATATAGTGATGAAGGCCTCCTACTTGAGGAAAACATATTGGGATTCCACCACGGATAGCCTTAGGAGACTTATAAGTAGCCTGCCAGAAGTAAGAATTTATATTAGTAAAGGTGGGAGAAAAAAACTCACAGCCATGCTAGATCAGTAAGCATTAGTTACTAAAACCAAATATCAGACATGGGAGGTGGAACTGACATATTCTCAACATCCATTCTCCTAATTTCCATCATCTGAGTTTGGTTCTTTTAGTTATATGTCCTCTCGAAGCTACAATGAGGTCTCTCTGTTTTCTACTCACAATAAGCCCGGAGTACCATGATATGGCTGCAACAGGATTACTATGCAAGCTTCCACACAAAACTCATCTTCCTACTGCTGCAAGACTATGTAAAACTTCCCCATACTTCATGTCTTTCCAAAATCATTCCCATTTTCCACATTCCCTCTAACCTTTTCAATTTGTCTTCATTATCTTAGAGCTTTACAGCAAAAGAGAAAGGCAAGAGACAACAAGGCAACATTTGTCAGAGAATAGGTGGAGGTCTGAAGCGCCATCGTTGATTATTTACTTTCTCAAAAATAAATAGTCTATGAAAAATCGACTTTATTTATAATTTATAAAAAGGAAAGGAAATAAAAGGTCACAGAAAATAATTGGTGAATGGGAAGATAGCATTTCCCAAGGCCACCCAACTTCCAATTTTCAGTAGCTGTTTCTTTTTTAAAACATGTGCTTCCTTTTTTTAATAATTGTCTTCATAGTTTGCTCTATAATAGCATGCTCCATGACCTTTACCAAATTTCAGAGTTATGGGCTTTATTCATTTCTCACTAATCAAACATAATGAGAATATAATGGACACTGGCCTAGAATTTGATCCAACTTTTATTGTTTACTTTTCTTATTGTTTCCTAAGAAGATAATTTAAAGTAGATTAAAGTAAGCAAGAGATAAAGGAATTCAATAGACAAAATAAAGAATCTGTATCTGACATAATGTTACAATGTTCAACCAATATGACAACTTACATCTCCCTAAAGTCATAAACATCCAGCCCTAGAGAGTTATGATAGCAACACACACAAGAAGCATTTTTTATGATGGCAACAAATATGAAGCACCTTTATGATGGAAACCCTACATATGACATTAGATAATCTGTACTGAAATCTGATACCTTGCTACTAACGAAAAGCAAATCCTCCCCATATTCATTTTTCCATGATGTAACTTGACCCCCATACAAATATGCCTGTTTCAGAAGTATAAACAATGTTTGTCAGTAATCTTTCTGTCAAACCCAAGAAATGTTGCACAAAACAGAGAGAGAACACCCAGAGAGACTCAAGGTAAAGCCCAATATTTGAAGAATACACGAGATTGAATAAGGAATACAATAAAAAAAATTCTTACTACATCAATCTAGTCAAGGAAACAAATACTTTCTCTTCTAAATAAAAAAATGATAAAACTACATAAGGCAACACTGTCAAGACAGTATTAGTGGTGCTATTTGACATGGCCTCCAGCACGTTAGCAAATCAATGAAAGCCTGCTTTGCTCACGCACTAGCATAGGAACACAAACAGAGAACAAAGCCCAGAAAATATTCATCTGCTGTGGGAAATTAGAAATAAATAGGTTTGACAACCAAGGGGGTTAGAGGACCCATAAGTAAAAGGCACATGACTTTGCAAATATCTGTACATAACAGGATAAAGTAGTAACCGGTGATGCACTTTCTTGTTAAGCAAGAAAAACTTCAAATTAATTCAACTACTATCCTTTTACCTCTCATGACTTCCCTTTTATTTCCTCACATCTTTTTCTTTTGTTATTTATCAGATGACAACTATTAATAGAAGTGGTATCTCACATATTTGTATAACTGAGTTCACTGCAGAGAAACTAACGAGACATTCAACAAAATCCCATAACCCATTTATAACCAAAAAAGAAAAAAGAATCTATCCTGATTTGAATGCCATAAGATGTTTCAAATCCTTTATCTATTGAGGACACTAGAAACTGAACCCGGAAGCATGTTCTCAGTTGACCCATTATTCTTCATCATAAAGAATCCCAGTAGGAATTCCATCTCACCATAACTTCGTGTAATGGTTACATACGTTACATACTCAAAGTAGCACACAGCTAGTGCTAATATGTACTTGACGTACAAAAAGAGAATATTCAAAAACATAATACACTTAGAAAAAAGAAGATTAGAACAATCTCAGCTAAAGAACAACTACCTCGCACAACTAATAAGAAATTTCGAGAAACCGAAGCTAATCATAAACCGAAGCTAATCATAATTAAGCAAAACGTCAAAACAGCTATACAAATGCAAGAAAATAGCTACTGAAACCAAACATTGCCGGGTTGAAAATGAAAATTACTTAGTTGTACTTTTAGCTTTCAATTTTTCCTTTTCAATGATTCTATCTGTTATTGTTCATACAAATTGCAATGCCATAATTACACACAAAGTTCATCCTATATCCAAGAAAACTCAATAAATATAAAAATCCGGAGACAATTTTACATAAATTAAATTGAAAATTTGGTTTCAAATGCTAATCAAGACAGAATGCAACAGCATTCCCTAGACAAAGGACAGATGAAATAATCAAGAACCAAATAAATCAACGACAATAAAAACGGAAAATCAGAATCGTATAAAGGAGCAGAAATGTTGAAGAACATGAAAAAGGATCGGAGAAAGAGAAGGGTTGGTGGTGGTTGGTACCTCCGCGGAAGAGCCTCGAACCTTTCTGAGAACGACCATGTCAAGGCCATTCGCGCCCTTACAGTGCTCCAAAACGCCCTCTCTCTCTCTCTCTCTCCCGGACGCCGGAAGACATCACCCGCTCTCTCGCTCTGCAATTTTGACATCCTTGCAACTGTATGCCTCCATCTGTCCCTCGTATATATTTTTTCAATTGTGCAATAAAGTATCTTTTTCCTCCTTCGGTCCAAAACAAGGGGCAATCTTTATATTTTCTTGGGTGATTTTGCGATATTTTCTCTTTTTACTCTTTCGGCCCAAAATAAAGGGCAATTTGGTATATGCAATACTACTATCAACATGAACGCTGATAAACTCATCTTATTTTTATCTCTTCACCTACCTTTTTAAAAAAAATTAATATTAAATTTACCCTCTTGTAAAATAATATTTAAGGACCAAAGCAAAAAAAGATAAAGAAAAACATGATTATGTTGCAGTCATATTTATAATAAGAATGTAATTGTGTAAATCTTAGTAGATATAGGAATGTATATTATATTCCTATTAGGAGTTGATTAGCTATTAAGGCCTCGTTTGGTACACCGTATTAGACTCTGGATAGGATTAATAGTGCGAGACAGATGTTTGGTGCAGTTTTGAATTAATTAGCCGGCCGATTATATATCCCGGGCCCACTTTTTAGTCCGGCTCACACCTGCTAAATAATACACTCCAAAAGCTAAGGATAATTTAGCAGGTTCAAAACTCAAAAACCCAGGAAAATTTAATCGCGTTGTCTCTTCACTCTCAAATAAATTTGTGCCTTCTCCGTTCTCTTCTCTATCCAGAACGAACTACATATGTTGTTCTTTGTTCTTCTTCCTCCTCTCGAATTCATCTACTATCCTTCATTCTTCTTCTTCCTTTTTTCCGCTCCCTTTCTCTGTTTGCTCTCTATTCCCTCTCTTATGAAATTGGTTGATTTGTCTATTTCTTACAAATTGATTTTGGTGCGGAGAATCCATATGGGTTTTGGGAGATTAAGAAATAAGGAAATGGGTTCGGCAGAGAGAGTGAGATTTGATGCGCGGGGATGATGATGAAGAAAGGATAACACAACTGTAAGAGAAACCTGGGTTTCTTTCCTTCCTTTTTTATGTTTTGTTTTTTAATTTTGTTGGTGCAATGAGGATTAATTCTTTTTTTTCTTTGGTTTTCTTCCTTTTTTCCATTTTAACATCAGTTATTCGGTGAATTTTTTTATAAATTTATTGTAATCCGATATATTATCCGATGTACAGATTTATCCTGGAAAGCACCAAACGCCCGACTAATTAGTCAGTACTATCCGATGACTATTTATCCTATCCGACAGAAATAGTAAGTACAGTCCGAGCTGCCAAACGAGGCCTAAGTGATGTAATCCTAAAAGGGTAAGGTTTTTGCCTATCTTACTAGTATAAATAAAGACACAATGGGGTGATACAAACACACCTCACAATTAAATCACTCTCTCTTTTCCCTCAATATTGACGGCCTCCCTCTCTCTCTCATCCCTTAGATTAGCTGAGGATTTGACATATCGTAGGATGAGGCTAGTTTCTACAAAATTCAAAGGCTTGTATTTGTTTTCTGCTAATCAGGTACGCTTAAAATAAAGGAAGATATTTGAAACGTCCACGAAGCATGAAAACATTCCTCATGATGCATGAACCCCTCTGTGTTTATATTTTCCTTACGATATATATATATATATATATACATATATTGTATATGTTCTTATATTTGTCAACATATATATTTGTTTCATGCATTACATAATTAAATTGCTATATGGAATTGTGAGTCAAAACATATTAATAAATAAGAAGCAATTCAGGGTTTCCTAAACTCTAGAAATTTCGAAGAAAAAAAAAAGGAAAGAAAATTGAACATGGTGTGGCACCACCGTCGGCAACCCATGCACAGTCGCTGCCCTGAAACCCAGTTGCATGGACCACTGTAGCAGCCCTTTAGGCTTACTGCTCCTGCATGCAGTAACCAGGCTTTGGCCTGGGGTCAGTTTCGACGAGCCTGAATCTCCGAGCCCACCAGCTGCTTGGCCTTGGCATCGAGTTTTTGCACTTGCTGGGCCTTGATTTTGTCCAGGCCCATAGCCAACCTACCAGCCTAGTAGGCTGGGTTCCTTCCCCCAACCCAATTACCAGGCTCCAACTTTAGCTGGGCTTTCCATGTGATAGCCCACAAGCTAGTAGCCTTGGCTGCTGGGCTTACTTTGTGCACTCGGCCCGTGGTCTGCCTTTTGCAGCCAACCAGAGCCCAAATCACTTTTTGTGTTATATTTTTCGAACCAATACCATTATTTTGCTTCCACAATTGACCATGTATGGCCCGATTTATTGAATTAATTAAAAGTGACATGCAGTACCTTAATCTGATAATGAATCCAAAATTATTGACCTAAAGATCACATTTGGACATTAACGATTCAATAATTTATTTGTATACTTTGAACCATTGACATACTTTCATAGTAACGAAGCTTTCACACTTGAGTTCCTGAAGAAACTCAAATCCACTACACTTAAATCAACATATTGCATTCTGTGTTTCTTGCAGGAACCTTTCATTTATGAACTAATCGTTCATAAAAACTAAATTGAACCTATAGTTTCATATTTAGTGCATTTGAAACCCGAAGTTTTCATGCAAGACGTGAAGCTCCATCTGACTGCGAAGGGTATTAAAGCCACCATCGAGGCACCCGCCGACGACAAACCTGTCAACGAAGCTCAAAAGGCCAATGCAATAATCTTCATTCGAAGACACATCCATGATGCACCGCAGACCGAGTATCTTGCTGAGGAGGACCTACGCACCCTCTGGCTTGCTTTGGCCGACCGTTTTGATCACCAAAAAAACATTTACTTTCCTAAAGCAAGACACAATTGGCAGCATCTTTGCTCCCAAGACTTTAAGTCTGTGAATGAATACATCTCTGAAGTTTGTAGAATCCACTCACTGCTGAAATTCTGTAAAGTGGAACTAACCGAATCAGATCTCCTAGAGAATACCTATTCGACCTTCTATGCCATTAATATTGTCATGCATCAACAATATAAGGCATAAAAATTCACCAAGTTTTTGGATTTGATCTCTGTTTTACTTCTCGTTATAAAGTAAAACCAACTTTTGATGAAGAATCATCAAGCTCGACCCACTGGCTCGAACGCCACGCCTGAAGCGCATACGATCAATTCTAGCAGCCATAAATGATGAAAGAATCGTCATGGCAGTGGTAATGGACGGCAACCCAAACCACGGGCCCAAGGTCAATAAAATGTTGCACCTAAGGGAGGAAATGTGACCTAGCAGCGTCCACCACTTGCCCATAAGGCCCCAAACTTTAAGAACAAGGGAAAAGCTCCCGTTTAGTCAGCTTCCACCGAAATGGACATGTGCTATCATTATGGATCAAGGGATCATTGGTCACATGTATGCCGAGCTACCCCTGAAACTATTGCTAAATATCATTCCCGTCGTGAGTCAAACTTTGCACATGTGAATCATCTGGAAGATGCTACTACATCAATGGAGATATCAAATTTTTAGGAGGTGTCAGCTCCTATGGATGAATAAATTAGACATGTTTTTAGGGTGTTTACCCCTAGTGGTCGAACCCACTAGGAGTGGCTGGCCTTTGCCCCCTATTTTTCTAGGTTAATGGCTTAATTTTGAACAATTTTTCTAAGTCTTTGGAATAATTTGTTTGGTTTTGGTTTTTTTTGGAATTATGGATTGTTATGTGATGGATATTATTTCTCGATTTGCTTAATTGAATGAATGGAATTATATTTATGCATGTGACCAATTCAATCAATTTCTTTCTAGGTATGTCTAGTGGGAAAGTTAGTTGTTTGGTAGAAGTTTTCATAAAGTGCCTTCAACTGATAGCTCAGACTTTGGTTATGAACCAAACTGTCGATATCTACCTAGGGCTATACAATATTGCACGCAATGCTGGTCAGCCTGAGGCCCACCGTTACCCAACCACATTCACCATTACAGTTGATCATTAGATACGAGCATGACGTCTCGCATTTACGGGTGTTTGGGTGCGCCATTTTTATGCCAATAGTGCTGTCACTATGTACCACAATGGGTCCTCAGAGAAAAATGGGAATCTATGTCAGTTATGATTCACCATTAATTGTTCGCTATTTAGAACCCTTGATAGGAAATCTCTTTACCGCACGATTTGCGAATTGTCACTTTGACGAGACAGTCTTCTAGTTGTTAGGGGGAGATAAACATTCTAACATTCCTTGAGAACACCGTGAATTGTCATGGTATGCTCCCACTATGTCTCATCTAGATCCTCGCACTGCTCAGTCTGAAACTGAAGTACGACGAATTATAGATCTTCAGAGCATTGCTCAAAGTATGCCAGATGCTTTTAATGATCTAGCAAAAGTGACAAGATCACATATACCTGCTGCAAACACACTTGCAAGGATAGATGTACACCGCGTACGTCAACAACCCGCCTGGGAAGGCTGGACCGTCCCCGAAGGTGGGGAGGCCACACCTTCCATGCGACAAGGTATATTGGTGGTTAGTCAATCATTTGCTTTGACCCTGTAACATGGCAGACCCCTTGGTTCAAAGGATCCACAACCTTGGAAGAGGAAAACAGCACCAACTAGTGACCCTAGTTTGAATCCGACCTTCACTTACTCATCTGTTCCAACGCATAAAGTTATTCTATATTACAGTGATGCTTCATATGAAACATGTTGGTCTCCCAAGAGTCATGAGATTTCGGTCCACTACACAGTATTGGATAAGGTTTGGAATCGGAATGAGTTGATCGTCGATGATGCATTTACGTACTCAGTAGCTACTGACATCATGCTTAGCGATGACATTGAACCACGTTTCGTTGATGAATGCCAACATAGAACATATTGATCAAACTAGAAACAAGCAATCTAGATCAAACTCGATTCGCTCGTGAAACATAAGGTATTTGGACCTATCGTTCCTACACTACCGCGCGTGAAGCCCATTGGCTACAAGTGAGTTTTCGTGAGGAAGCATAATGAGAAGAATGAAATAGTGCGATACAAAGCATGCCTCATAGCGCAAGGCTTCTTTCAGCGCCCTGGGATTGATTACGAGGAGACGTATTCCCCTGTAATGGATGTTATAATGTTTCACTACCTTATCAGT